TTGACGACAGAGAGCCACGATGTCAGCGCTGGCCGAGCTCCAGCTCACGGGGTTGCTGACATTGCAGAGGCAGATGGTGGCACCACCATCTACAGGCACCTGCAGGAACAGCCGGGGCTGGGGGTGCCCCAGGGCTCCGGGGGGGTCCCCACTGCACTTCCAGACGTAGGAAACATTTCCAGGAGCGGGAACGCTGCAGGACAGGGAGATGTTGCACCAGCCCTGCTCCCAGGGAAGGGTCTGTGCCTGCAGATCCGCCCAGGGAATGGGATCTGTGGGATCAGACAGGGTGAGAAGGGACAGGGGGCACACAAGGACAGAGGGATGGGGAGGGATGAGGATGCATCTACTCACCCCACACCGACACACAGAAGGACAGATGGGTCACAATTCCTGATGGATCCTCAAACTCGACCTTATAAACCCCCTTATCTTCCTCCCTAACCGGGGAGATCCTCAGGGAGAGGGTTTCTGGCTGGAAAACAACTCCCCCAGGGAAAGAACCGCCGGTGTAGGAGACACGCCCGTCCTTCCAGGCTGTCAGGATGCGTTTCCATTTCCCTTCCCCCCTCCTCACTTTCCACTCCACCGATTTCCACTCCCGTGGAAAAGGTGGAAAATGTTCCCCCCTCTCTGGCAGCAGCTCCAGCTCTCCAGAGGTGGACACAGCCCTTTCCAGGCACTCCTGAGCTCCTAAAGCAGAGAGTGGGATGAACCCCGGGTGAGATTGTGACCCCGGGTGAGATTGTGACCCCAGGAGATGCCCTGTGGCTGCAGGGAGGGGGTGGGGGGCAGAGTCACTGCTGGAGTCCACTCGTGCTCCAGACCCCCAGCACAATCCCTCACCCACCCACCCCAAAGATTCCATGTCCCCCCTACTCCCACTTTGGGGGGGAATTTTGCCCTCTGGACCTTTTCCCCCTCCCTCCCCCCTTCTTTTCTGTGCTTGCCCCGGATGTCGAAGGGGGGAGGTGACAAAAAACAGCCCCCCCAAACCCTGGGAACATCCGGGGGGCCGAGGCCACTTCCTGGAGCTCCGTGTGGTCAGGGTGGTTTTGGGGGGGACACGGGGGGGGGGGGCACCCTGAGCTGAACCTGGTCTTCGCAAAGCCTCACAGGTCCAGGGCACCCTCTGGGCTCGGCAGATCCAGGGAATACAAAAAGCTGGAGGGAGAAAAGGCACCAAAATCCTCCCCTCGGGAAAATGGGACTAATTATCTCCTGGAACTTTCAAAAGGGGCCCTTCCCACCGCTCCAGCTCCTAAATATTTCCTGCAGAACGCAAAGGATCAGCTCTTAGTTGCTGCTCTGATGTTGTTGGGCAGGTGGGAGAGGGGCTGAGTGAGTTTGGAATCGTGGAACAGCCTGAGTTGGAAGGGACCCACAACCCAGTCCAACCCCTGGCCCTGAAGAGCCACCCCGAGGATCCCACCCTGCCCAGCTCTGGCAGCCTCGGGGCTGTGCCCACTGCCCTGGGGAGCCTGTTCAGTGCCCAAACCACCCTCTGGGGGAAGAACCTTCTCCTAAAATCCAGTTCCCCTGAAAGCACGGGGGGAAAAGTTGCCGCGTTTGTCCAGCAGAGGGATTTGACCTCAGAAAGCCGCGGTTTTTGGGGGCAGGAAAGGTCACGGCCACGGGCATGGCCCTGTCGGGAAGTGGCCACTTTCGGACAAACCCCGTGTCCAAAACGCTGCCCAGGAAGGGGAACTGTGTCCCCCACACACACACACCCACTCACCCGTGGGAGAACCGGCCCGGATCGACCTGCCCTGGGCAGAGAAGTGAGGAAACCCCCCCCCCCCCCCCAAAACCCACCTAGCCCCTCCCCACCTCCCCAGGGACCCCCAGGGTGTGCCCCCTCCTCACCTCGACCGCTGGCCACGACCACCACCAGCATCAGCACCAGCAGCAGCGCCGGGGGGCACCGGGGACCCCCGAGCCGGAGCATCTCGGAGCGACCCCCCACCCACCCCCCGCACAAGGTCCCGGAGGTGCAAAACCCCCTCCGGCGAGTGCCTGGTGGAAACTTCCTCTGCTGCCTTCGCTCCCTCCTCCTCCTCCTCCTCCTCCTCCTCCTCCTCCTCCTCCTCCTCGTGATCTCAGCCCTGCGTGACCCTCGGGCCGCCCCTCCTTCGGGGTGGGTGCTGGGTGGGTGCCCGGGTACCCAGTGAGGTGGGGGGGGGGGGGGGAAGGACGAGTCGGGCTCGGGGTCGAGCAACCCCCAAACCCCCGAGGAAATTAATTTTACTGACCCGAGGAGGGGCGGGTTTGGGGGGTTTTACTTTCCCTTTGAGGAGGAGAAGCCGCTCCAGGCGCGGTTTGGGATCTCGGTGACCTCAGACCCTCCCCAGCGGCAGGATCGAGCCCGTGGGGAGCAGAATCCAGCCCAAAGACCTCCCCCCACCCCCGTGCTGTGGGGTCGGGGAGCTGGGGAGCCCGGCTGGGGGTCTCCCAGCAGATGTGGGGGCAGTGGATGCTCAACCAGGCTGATCCTGCTTTCATCTCCCTCCGCATCTCCACCTTTCCACAGGACAGAACAGGTTGTTCTTCTCCTCATCTGCTCCCTCTGCTGAGCCCAAGGTAAGCGTGGGAGCATTTTGGGGGTCAAAAAGCCTCAGCGTCACTTAAATGGGGCCGTTACCAACGGGTTATTGTAAAAAAATGTGGGTTTTGTTGTGGTTTTTTTTAAGGAAACTTTGTATTTCTAGGAAAATGTTCTCTGCTTGCGAGGGTTTGCCTTGTTGTGGGAAGCAAAAGGGGGGAGGGTGGGGAGTGAGAGCTTCCTCAGAGCTTCCTCTGCCTTTGGAAAATGGAATTTCCTTTCTACCAGCCTTGGAGAAACAAATAAATATTGGGAGAAAATAACGCAGGAGGTGCCAAGCTGAGGAAGCCATCAGGGAAAGGTGAGTGGAGGTGGAGGATACAAGAGGAAGAGGAACTAAAAACACTTCCCAAACCGCTCCCTGCGGGGTGGGGGGGAGGGGAGAAGCACCAGAGGTTTATTTATTCCCTCTCCCGAATATCTCAGCTCCAGATCTGTAAATAAATCCTCGTCGGAAGGAGCATCGCCTTGTGTTATCTGCGAGCAGCACCGGCTCCTGTCGCTCCCTTATCTGACCCAGACACCACCTCGAGCAATCTCGGGTGGAAATAAATATTCAGGAGCTCGTCCCCAGGGTGGTTTCTCCGGCAGCTTTTTCCTGGGATATCCAGGATGCCGCTGGAAGAGAGCAAAAGAGGCGCCGGGGTCAGCGGTCCCTCAATCCGATCACTCCCGCCGTCTGCTCCCGGCTCTTGGAGCCGCGCCACTAATCACCTTATGGTAAGCTCATTGCCATTCCCGGCTGGCTCCCAGCCATTCCCGATCCTGCTGATGGCTTGGAAAGCCGTGTCTGGGCGCTGAGTGATGTGTGGGATGAGTTGGGGATCGGGGTGGGGGGGTTCACGCTGAGCAGGGCCCTGGTTCTGTTAGGGGGAGGGTGGGAAAAGAGGGGGCAGTTCCCAACCAAAAAAAAAAAGTCTTGGAAAAAAAGCACTGGGAGAGGAGAGGGGTGGGATGAGCGGGATTTCTGCGAGATGGAGAGTCCAGGTGCGTCCCCGAGGGTGCTGAGGGGTCCCTGCTCCATCTCCCAGGGGGGTTGCAACCCCATCAGTGAGGGAAAAGGCTCCTGGACGGCTGGAGAAGCTCCACGGCTTTCCCTCCCTCCCTCCCCACGCGGTGCCCCGGCAGTGACGTGGGACGCTCCAGCCCCTTTTCTCTCTCCCCTCCGTCTCCCCCTCGCAGGCAGAGGAGCAAAAAAAAAAGAAAAAAAAAAAAACTAATTAAGGCTACGAAGGGAAAAGCGGCGTTTTGTGAGGCTGGAAAAAAAAACGTCGGCTCCGGAGAAGGGGGCTGAGCCGATTAATTAGAGCTTTTGTCTGCGGCCCCATTCAACACGTAGAGAACAATTTACATCAAGGGGACCTTCCTGGGGCTGGAAAAGCTCTGCCCGGGGAGGGGGGGGAAAGGCGAGTGAGTGGAAAGGAAAACATTTCCCACGTCTCACGGACCGTGCCGAGGAGGAAGGGAAGGGAAGACGCCGCATTGCAGAGGGTGTTTTTATTCAGCGCATCATCCGCTCTTCCTCATTCTCCTGCCGGCTAAATTTGGGCCCCCCCGAGATGAGCAGACGAGGAGGGGTTGGGGTTGGGGAGGTGGGGGGAGTCCTGAGCCCACAGAGATGCTCTCCGTGGGGCCTCGGGATGGCTTTGGAATGAGCTTTCCCGGGGAACGCGGTGGAGCCGAACGGGGCTGAGCGGGGCAGGTGATGCTCCAAGTATATTTAATTATTTATTTTATTTTTTTTTAAAGCCGGATCCTCTCGCAGACCGGAGCGCGGCTCTGCCCGGGAGGTGGCAGCATTAGACCGCGCTCAGCTGGGCTCGACCCTGGGGGTCCCCCAGCCCCCCCCCCTCAAAAACCCGTCCCGAGGGGAGCTGAGCCCCCTCGCTCCACTCCCAAATCCCCCTGGGGAAGCAGCAAACCGGGATGGAGCTGCATCCAGGGGGAAGCAGCATCTTATGGAGTCACTGAGCCTCTTCCCAGCTACAATCCACCTGTCGATGGGGGTGCAGCCGAGTGCCTGTTCCCAGCTGGCTCTGATGGGATGAGCAGGGAAGGACCCCCCCAACTCCAGCTCTGCCCCTGCCCCTCCAGCTGGATCGTCACCCCCGGCCTCCCACCCCCTCCACGGGGTTATCCATCACCTGCACGGGGATCCCAGGGAAGCAGGAGATGATCCTTCCCCCTCCTGCCTGTCCCGGCATCCACCACCCACGGCCGCTTCCTCCACCAGGCCCGTCCCACCGCCAAGTCACCACTTCCCTGTGCCCGCGGGCATTCATGTGCTTCCCCGGGTGCCAGCCTTGGGCAATCCCCCCCTCTGGCAGCGCTGCCGCCGCTCCCGGGGCCCGGGGAGGGTCCTGCCCCGCTGGGTTGGGGGCTGCAGCACCCACGCAGCCCCACGCGAGAAGGGGGACATGCTCGGAGCCGGGGTCACGCTCCTCTGCTGTTTGCTGGTGGCAGCCGGGGGTAAGGATGCTCCTGGGGCTGGGGGGGGGGGTGACGCCAGGGCAGGTGGGTTGGGGGCATCCTGGCAGCTCCAGCCACCCTCCCTAGGGGTGATTTTGGTGGGGGAGGAGGTGGAGACCCCCCTCTGCCTCACCCCACCCCCCGGTGCCTTGCAGGGCTGCGTGTCCCGGTGCTGTGGGGGCTGCGGGGACACTCCGTGTCCTTCCCAGCCCTGCGTCCCGTGGTTGAGGACATCGCCCGCGTCACCTGGAGGACCCGCGGGACCCACATAGCCGAGGCCAAGCCCCGGGAGGAGAAGTTCTCCGTGGATTACCTGCCTGCCTTCCGTGGGCGGCTGCTCATCCACCCCGCCAACCTCTCCCTGGAGATCCTGCAGCTGAGGCAGGAGGACAGCGGCGACTACGAGGTGATCGTGGACACCTTGTCCCACCCCACGGCCCCAAAGACCTTCCGCTACTTTCTGCAGGTTTCTGGTGAGTCCAAAGCTGGAGCGGGAGCTCCATCCCGTGGAATTTCCTCCCCCACCACCCCCACCCCTTGACCACGTGGGAGAGCCCGGGGTGGGCATGTGGGCAGTGGGGAAATTTCCCTTCCTCTTTCGGTGTCTGCTGCACTCGCTGCACCCAGCCCTGCTGGCTCCCAAATCCCGGGGGGGGGTTTGAGGGGGAGCTGCACCCACTGACCCCTGTCCCAGCACCCCTTTTCACCCTCAAATGTGGGGGGGTCAGCCCCCCCCCACCATCCTCTAGCCCTGTGTCACACCACACCCTGTGCCCACAGGTGACCCCTCCGGGCCCGGTGACGCAGCAGGACACGGTGGGAGCACCGTGACCCCCCCGGGGCTGACAGAGCCACGTCCTGGAGACCCCACGAGGCCAGGCACGGGTGGAGGGGGGCTGGGAACCTGTGGGGGGTGGAGACACTACTGTGAGCTGAAGGGGTACCTCGTGGCCGCCGTCCTGGGGCCGCTGCTGGTGCTGTTGGTCGCCGTCCACCTGGTGACCAGGGACAAGGTGTCAGCAGGGACCGAGTCCCCCAGGGCTGCCATCCCTCAGGGATGGTCCCCATGGCAACGGTGAGCTCCTGGGAGGACCCAAACACATCCTGGCATGTCCCCCTCTCCACGCACAACCCAGGGATCCTGGGGGGACACCTTTCCCGACCCCAAACGTGCTGGGAGCGTCCCATAAAACCTCCCCTAGTTTATAATAAGTGAATTATTTACTGGTGACCCTGAGTAAATGCTGCACAGCATAAATTATTGAGTGGCAGATCTGTCAAAAAAGTTCTCATAAATAAGTTATCCGGTGCCGTCTTAATGTTCCCAGTAAATTACTCATTCAATCTCCCGTCTAAACGCTCTCCTGGGGAAATTACTCCTGCCTGCTGATTTATGAATTAGGCCTGGGCAAACGAGGACGAGGAGGAAGGAGAGCCCTGCCAGGACAGCCCAGGGTTTTGCCTCGCCAGGATTCCCGAGCTCATCCCTGGGCTCCCAATCTGGGTGCTCTGGGATGGGGTTGGGATGGATCCAGGTGGTGATCCCAGAGGGATTGTCCCCAGCCTGGTGTGTTCAGCATCGTCCCAGGCTCTGCAGGGGTCCCACAGCTTCCCAAAGTTTGGGGGGAGCACGGCACCCACTCCCAGCCCTGCCCTGCAGAGGGATTCAGGGGGAGGATCCCCCAAATCCACCCAGCCCTGACAGCTTTCCCTGTCCCCAGCAAGGCCAAATCCTCCCCACCGGCAGCCTGGGATTGTTGTGTCCACCTCCATCATCCCAGGAACCCTATCCCTCCCCACCAGCAGCCTGGGATTGCTGTGTCCATCTCCATCATCCCAGGAACCCAATCCCTCCCCACCAGCAGCCTGGGATTGCTGTGTCCATCTCCATCATCCCAGGAACCCAATCCCTCCTCACCAGCAGCCTGGGATTGCTGTGTCCATCTCCATCATCCCAGGAACCCAATCCCTCCCCACCAGCAGCCTGGGATTGTTGTGTCCATCTCCATCATCCCAGGAATTCAATCCCTTGGGTTGCCAGAGCCAAGGGTCTCCTGGGAGAGTGGGAGAACGGGATTTGCCCCCCCCCCGTGGAAGGGCTGGGATGGCTCCCTGGGGATGCTCCTGCCTCTCCGGGGTTCCCCTCGCCCCTCACCCCCACGTGGGGCCCGCGTCTGTGTTTGCTTTAATAATTAAATGTCGGTTTGGGGGGGAAACAATTATTTATTTAGAGGGAACAACGTGTTAACAAGATCCCCATCTAATCCCCGGTGACAGATGTCGCCTTTATTAGCACCTCTGTCCGAGCCCAGAGAGCCCGGGAGGCAAAAACAAACACACACAACTACAAGGCTCGTTAGGAGCTGCAGGAATTAAGTGTGAGAGGGGAAATAAATATTCAAAGGCAACAACAACCCCCGCGATTGTCGTTGTTGGCGGCGCCGGGGGTGGGGATGGGGGGAAGAGAGGGGCTGGAGCGGCCCTGGAATGACACAGGGATGGGCTGGGAGGGCTTTTCCAACCTCAGGGATTGTGGGATTCTCCGAGCAGGGAGCAGCAGGATTTGAGGAGATGGGGCAGCAGCACCCAGAGGAGAGGCATCACAAGGAATCCCCCCTCCTGGAGCAGCAGGGGATGGGACAGGATTATTTCTGGGAGAGCCAGCTCAGCCCTCGGGCACCGCCTGGGGGGCTGGAGAGCAGATTGTGTCATCCCCATCCCCTCCCCCCAGAGCAGGATTAGGCCAAGGAGCTGCTGGGGGGTGGCTGGGGAGGGGTGATGGGTGGGGGGAGATGGGGATGGGGGGAGA